GCAAGAACCCTGTTCCTGTGCCGAGGCTGGAGGTGAGTGGAAACCGCTCCAACAAAATGATTAGCCGAGCTGAGGCCGAATCGATCTCTCGCTGAAACCGCAAGGGAAGAACAAGCAAGGCAGGCAGGCTTCTTCATGAATTGTTGTGCAAAATAGCGGTGCAAAGCACCCGCCTGTCGCAAAAATCTGGAAATCCGGCCCATCCAAATCCATCGAGTAGTGTGAAGCAGCTGGCACCTCGCACATGCTGACCAAACCGAGTTGCTCAAACTACTGCTCGCGAAGTATTTGCTTCCGTCAAACGTGATCCATATGTAGTATTCTGCGATCAATGCAATCTCTCATGACAACGCATGCGCACGCCCGCCAATTGAGTACAAATCAATATTCCCGTGTTGCGAGTAGCACTTGGCAACTCATCGCTCGTGACTGAATACATGGCACGTCCGCCAGTGAGCCAGGGCGCTTGGGGCTGACTTGCTGTAAAGGCCGTGATGCCAAAACCTCAAACATGGCAGGGAGCCATGGCGTTGGGGATGTCACCCTGTCTTGAAGATTGTTTCTGCATGGGTGTTTCGCAAAATTGGGGACCCCTCCGGATGGTTTCAAAAAGGCGCCCCCTATTTTGAGACACGCCCGCATGTTGTGAGATGCCGATCTTGGATGCCTGAAGGTCACATGTCACTACTGCACCGGGGTCAGCGGTGTTGTAAATTACAATAAATACTGGACATTACGTCGGATCAATTGCCTAGGCGACGGTTTTGAACGTACGCCCCAGACCTGTCACAGACTGAAGCATCCTGAACTTTCATCACTGTACATTTGACTCCAAAAACACTTCAGAAGCCAGGAAAGTGTCCGCCAGAATAACTCAGCCTGGGAGCCCGCACCTTCCGTGCCTGAGCAAGCTGACTTGCTAGGCCTGGACGCGAGACGCTCACACCTAGTCGCTTCCTTTTGCTGACATTGCTGACTTCGGCGCACAAAACTAAAATGGCGGGGGACAAGGGTCAAACTGCAATAAAGGCGGCGAGTGGCGTCTGTCATGTCCAGCTTGGATATTTCAGAACCAACATGAAATGTTGCGATGAAGGCCCGGCATTTAAAGCGATCGACACCTATTACACACCTTTGAGCAGCCGAGAAGTCGGTGTTCTTGTTGGTTTTTGGTGAATCTTGAGCTCATGGTCATGATTGAGACCTTTGCCTGGGCAACTGCTAACCTGGGTGGAAACACGTGGCGGGGTATAAGCTCATTCTGAAAGAAACAAACACAACAACCAAGTGCCCTCGGCCCGCCCGGACCGGATTAGCATTGCAGACCGCGGGTTCCGTCCTTAGCCTCTTGTGCACGAAGCTGGCACGGCTCCTGGCCATGTTGCCAGGCCAACGCGTTTGAGCCTTACTCCCACGAGCAAGGCGAGATATGGTTGTGGGTCAAACATAGGTACCCAAATGAAACCCTGGTAAATGGAACCAATGACCAATTCCTGTGGTCCACAACCTGGTGGTTTAATTTTGACCCATACCCATATCTTACGTTAGGTCTTTGTTTGATCAGTTCGTCTCCAGCTCGGTATCGTTTTCACACATGACTACATCTGCTTCTGGAAAGCTGGTTTGCATCTTTCCACAACAACTACCTTCTGACTTTAGAAGCTGCCGAGTGGGAGCAATGCAAGGGCCGTTTGTCTACTCGTTCTACTTGTTGTCAGGCATCCTGCAGTTTGACTCGGATCATCCCACGGTGGGAGACAAAAACTTCCAGCATAGCCATTGCAGCCGTTGCTTGTTGACAAACGAGTGCCGGTGACATGCCCCGCATTGACCCCCGCTTGTCATGTGCATGCCCGCCAGTCTCAAGGATGCATGAGGGTTGGCCAGTCTCGTGATTACTTTTCCTACAGCATAGTGCCGTGTGTTATTACTTGCGCAGCACTTGCCTTAGCCTATGCAGCTAAAGAGCCGCAAGCTGTTGCCGGTGCCGGTACCAACCGCACTTGTGTTTTGCGCCTTTGCCCGTCTCGTAAGTCTCGCATCTTAAGGATTCATGCCGACATTGTCACTTTCGCGGCAAGTTGTCTTGTCCAGTTGTACAGCATTGGCTGCACTTGCCTTGGCCTCGTTGCCTGTACTGCAGGAGCCAGTGCCTGCCATTTATGGGCCCATTATCTACCAAAGTCTCCATACCAAAGAGTGCCGGCGACTATTGGGATTGTGACAGCCGCTTTTCGAGGCAAGCAGCTTTTGCTGCTCGACTTGGTTGGTGGCTGGGGCTCCAGTAGTCCAAAGCAGAACATGTTCAACCCATCCAAGATGATGTAGTGAGCCCCCTGGAAAAATAAAAATACTTCCAGTAGTGATAGATGTCCTTTAAAACCAACAGGGGAAAATGACAAAATATTCTTAAGCGAATGGAAGAAACTGTGAATAAGCGACCGCAGCATGTTCTTGCCTGCTGCTTCTGCTGCCATCAGACCTTGCTAGCGCCAAACTTTCATCGGACGATCTCTTTTGCGCGCGCGCACCAGGTACCAAGACTTGATTTGCCAAGCACACCCAGTTGGCCATGGGTCAAATTCCCGTACCCCCAGCGAACATCCCCAATCCCACTCCAATAGGAAACCTAAAATGGGTGGTGAATTCACCGATCCCCCAACATGGGATCAGTGGTCCAAATCCCATGAAATCATGACACACTTGCTTGCAAAAATCCCCAGGGCCCAGGACGTACCCTTTCTGTCCAGAGGATCCAGAACCCAACTTGGGTGCCAAACGCAACGCTGTGGGAGATGCTGCCAGAGAGTCGACCTGCGAGCATCGAAGCTGATGCAGCGCTAATACATGGCTGTGGTTATCAAAACCACATTGGGATCCCATGTTGGGGGTAGGTGAATCCACCACCCATTTCAGAACTTATTTTGGTGGGGATTGGGATGTTCACTGGGGGTACGGGATTTTGACCCATGGCCACATCTATTCCAACTACTTGACTTGCTATTGCCGCCTTCGCATTGTATTCGCAGTCTCCAGTTCAGTTCAGTTTGCATCTGAGAAACATTCTCATCAGGCCCAGCAGGCTGTTGGCTAGTTGTTGACCCACGCATTGTAGACCAAGGTTCTGAAACAACTTAGCGTCAACCACAACAAGTGCTGCAATTGGATATATGGGGGTTGATCAATACGCCTGGCCCTTAGATGACTATGAGTAACTTCTCGCATTTCGGAGGACATATTTCATCTTTTTCAGTGGTTCTCCCAATTTTTCATGCCATGTGTACCGGACGTTTTGATCAACCCACATATGCAAAAGTAACACCAACTGCTTGACAGCGCACTACCCAGGGCTCCGCTTCGTGACGGCTGGCTGCCATCCTGATCAGTCCAGTGCTCCGCTTGGCTCTTTTGGAATTTGACCGCCTCAGAACTCCGAAAAGAGTCTCACAGCTCACAAGGTTTGACAGGCTCACCAAGTTTTGACAGGCTCCTCAGAACTTTTGCAAGTCTTACACCTCACCAACACTTGAAATTTAAGTCAACTTGGCTTCTGGCGCTCCTGAAGATGATTGCTGGAGTGCGCCGTAAAACAAATCCAAGCCATGCAACCTTTGGAACGGGCCACTCTGAGGTAGGATGGTCTGGCAAAGCCGTTTGTCAAACCCTACGTAGCAGCGCGTCTCAAACAGAAGATAGAGCATCCTACTTCCATGTATGATTTGTGTAGATGCCCAGCTCCTAGTCACATATGTTGAGGTGCTCAGGTGAAAGGAAGTCATAAACAACTCTGAGAACCAGTCAGACTTTTGTCTGGACAAGGCAGGAACCAAAAACCATTTCTGCAGCATCTGAAACAGCCTGCTCGCCCGGTCCTCATCAACCACGGCTGACCAGCTTTTGCCCACCCCACGGAGGGTGGCTAATGGAAGGAAACGTCGCCCGGTAGCATCACCTTGGAATCAATGCTGGATCCGAGTCGGACCAATTGTTTGAAGGAGACATTACTTCAGAATTCCTTCCTGCTTGATGAAATCATCAGAACGTTGATAATCATGGAGCGTGGAAGATCCAACGACCCTTTCATCCCAAAAGGGGAGGTGGCACCGGACGGCAGCTTGAATATGTCGTTTCTTGCATCGAACGCGCACAGTTTACCACCTTTTCGGCAACCGCCAGCTCAACGGTATGGACACTCGCGCACACCCCGCCATCTGTGTGTGCGTAATATCCCCTGGAGGCAGCCAACATGCAACTAACAGGATCTGATCCGTCTGGAACTCCGCTGGAGAGTTGGCTGGCTACGCGTCGCAGAGCAGCCGGCTCAATTAGGTGTCCAGGGCTCGGGCAAGACTCACCTCCTGAGCTGGTTCTTGACATGGGTGTTGCTAGCCTCAGAGCAACTCAGCCAACTACCAAGCTGAAAGATTCTATTTGCACCTTTCTGCGAGTGAGAAAGTCTGGTTGCAGCAGTAGTGCCGTGCGAGTTTTCGCAACAAGTTCTCTTTCTTCCGGAATCCTGTCTAATCCTAGGGCTGCTGCCTTCCTTTTGTGCGCAATATCAAAGGCTGGCGGAACCGTATTTTGTTTCTTGCTTTTGCTTCAGAACACCTGCAGGGGTGGGGTTCCTCTGAAATTTCCCCAGCATCACGTTTTTGGAATTCATGTAGGGAACTGCCTGAACCAGTATCATTTTTCAAGGCTTGGGTGCAAACATCGGGTCTTGGACGTTACATTCCGCATCCTCAGCATCCCCAGTAATGCTCTCCGGTGATGCTGGCGGTGGCAACGTTTTCTTTGTGGACGTCACGTTGTTTTGTCACGCACATGCTTTGGATACGCATTGTGCGCTTCCTTCCCCAACAAGAAAGCGTATCGGGATGTCCCAGAGAAGTGCTGGGTACCAAACGCATTGTTAATCTATGCCTAAGACATGTGCAGGTTGGGGGCTCTCTTGGGTCTGGAATGCATTTCTTCTGGAATCCTTTGCTTCACTTCCTTCCGCAAATTGACCAGTTGCCCAAGAGGCTGAGCATCGGCGGCTGGCACAGCAATGGGTCACTTTGCAACGTAGGAACTATCCTGAACACTTCAACTCACGTCCATAGCGCCCTCATCCCAGCATTCCTTGTCAGATCTTGTTAGCAAACAAAGCCAATGCCGTAAATGCATTTGCAGGAGCCTTCGTTTACAACGTTCCGAGCTTTGGAATGGTTGGGCCATTGAATGTGATCAAAGTTGACTCTCTACCCCTATCTCTCTCGCTCTCGCTCTCTCTCTCTCTCTCTCTCTCTCTTTCTCTCTCTCTCTCTCTTTCTCTCTCTCTCTCTCTCTCTGGTATGAGGGTCTGGATCGGAGGTCTGGAACGGTGTGGGACCAAGATCTGGATTGCGTGGGGCCTGGGGTCTGTTCCGGACCTGATATCACGCATCTTGTGTGCATGCATCGTTTTCGCATCATTTGTTTTGAGTGACTCACTTCCTGAGTGATTGGCAAAAACAAACAACACTTCTTGCCACTGAAGTTGTCTTCCCAAAGAGTTCAAAGTCCAGGAACTCAGGAAGCGATTTGACCATGTTTTGACCAACTGAATGGCGCAGTGTTGCTTCTACAGAGTCTTGAACAGCTGGCAAGCTCTAGAAAGAAGGATAAACCGATCCCATTCGAAGCAACTCTCTGTTGGCAACAAGTGAAGATTCCGCATTGGTCAATCCAGTGTACAAAGACTCGGTACTCCTTCAGGCTGTGGCGCAACCCTCTCTGTCATCACAAATACTCCGCTGCACATATTTTCAGTGTTGGGGAACCCTCCGGGTGTGCAAGTCTCGCTGCATCATTTCCGTCTTTCCTAGCTCGCCACACTATTTGCGCTTCCTAATTGCTTGTTGCTTCCAGCTTTGCTGACGAGCTCCCAGCGCGAATCTGGGGCTTCAGGCGAATGAGCTGGCCGCGTTTGCACGCTCGGCGTCCTGGAGCTGAGGCTGACATTATGGCATTCGTTGATCGCCTGGTGGCCTCAAGCATTGGGCGAATTCCTCCAGTCTGAGCCAAATACCTCCAACAAACTAGCCTCGGCCACCAGGGCCGGGAAGCGGCCAGACCCCTTCAGAACCTTTTCACGATCTTCCAAATTCCCTCCAAAATTGGTCCGTCCAACCCCGTCTGAAAACCGCAGGAAACCTGTCAAACCCCCTCTACAAACCTGTCAAGTGCCACAAACCGGCAAAACTCCCCCTAGAAGTCAGTCAAATGCCCTAGAAATTTGCTCCTTCTGCTGGCCCTTGAAGCCATGTGGAAACGCGCAAACACTTACCCGCCCTCTACCTTGGAAACCGGCTCTCGGATTTTGGCGCCGACTCACTCACTCTAAGAACAACAAGGCGTCAAGGCAAACAACACAGCGTATTATACCTCACAGCCATCCAAAAGCGGACTGGCCGCGGCGGGCAACGCGAAGCGTTTACAATTAAATCCAACCACGCGGTCATGCTATCCCCTGCCTGTTTCTTCCTGCGACACTTTCAATGTTGGCCCCTTCTTGCAACATTTGCTATGTTGCTTTTTGGAGAGCTGACGGCACGACCGCCCGAACGGCACACGGACACCTATTGTCCATGCCGAAAACAAGAAGCCGAGACCTCGCGTTCCACGTTGATTGTATGATAACAATTTAATGCGAAGCAGTATGAAAAGGTCTAGGAAGGCGCGCCACAATCAGCGGATTTTGCTAGTGCTGGGCAACATGTTGAATAGACATGGAGGGTGGCCCGGCAGACCGCCCCCCCCGCCCAACGCATGTTTGAGTCTACAATCGTGCCTTGCGAGTCCGGGCGGTCAGTGGGGGGCTGGGGCATGGGGAGTGGGGGCTTGATTGTCGTCATTGAACTGCTCAACCATGCGGTGAACACAGCGCCAGTGCACTTTCCACCCAACTAGTAGTTGCTTGTGGTCTTGCCCTTGTCCTACTTGCCGAACTTGCCCTTCAGCTTGTCCTTGGGCTTGCTGCCGGCATCCATGGGTGCAGGGCCAGAAGGGTGCTTCGTCTCACGCCCACTTCTTGACCTTGTCACTTGTCTTCAGTGCCATCCGGACTCCGGCTTCATCACCACGGGGCACTTCAGATCTAGAGATGTCCTCCTTGGACTGGTAGTTTCATGAGCGCCTCCCATTGTTTCAAGCGCGCAAGAAAATCCTGCTGAGCAGGGCCGAGGCCGTCGCCGTGTCCTGGTTGGCCGCCGAGCGATACGCCACCAGCGCCGAGGTGATCTGGTTGGCCCCGTCCGGTAGGCCAGCAGCGCGCCCGCGATGGCAGCCTGCGTCTGGGTGTCTTGGGCGCTCGCCGTTCGGCAGTCGGCACACAGCGTTGCTAGCAGGGCGTCCACTTGCGTCGAGGTGTAGTAGGCCAGCAAAGCCGCTGCGATGGCGCTGGTCGTCTCCGCGTCCTGCGCCGTTCCCGTGCGGTAGTCTGCCAACAGGGTGTCCACTTGGCACAGGTATCCGCTGCCCACCTCCGCATTCATGAAAAAATGACAAGGCCTTCCCTTCCACGGGCTGTGTGAGGATGGCCCACGCGTGCCCAGGTATGGTGATCCACGCTGATCAGGTTCATGTAAGCCCGCGCCCTTCAGCGTTGCGCGCCGCGCGTCTTTGAGGGCCTTACCCAGTCCGCCGCGGTGGGTCTTATGCGCATCAGCCGGCCCGCCCCGAGGGGTCTTATGGTTCCGGCTCGGGTGCGCTTTTCCTATCTCGAGCACCTCCAAGGGGCTGTCGAATGCCTCAATGTGCTGGAAATGTGATTGACGGATGCAGCGTTCCTTGATCTGACCGGACCTGCGTTTCCGGAACAAATCCAGGGAACGGGGCCAATTTCGGCTTTGCCCCCAACTCGGACTCGAGTGGTAGCGGTGTGTGTTTCTGGAAGGACCGCTGGCGTCAAACGAAGAGTACATGGATGACTCCACCATGGCCGCTTCTGCTGGCTGGATATGGCTGTGGGTCAAAAATGCGTAACCAAAATGGAACCCTGATAAATGGAACCAAAGACTCAAGCCTGCGGTCCCCTGATGGGTTTATTTTGACCCATACCCATATGTCGGCGGAGCGTCTGCAGAAGAACGCACCAATGGATGAAGGCAACACTGTCGCCATCGTTCGACGGTCGCGTTGGCTAGTTCCGGTTTGAGGAACTGGTAAGGGACTGGCCGATCGAAGCACCTCAATATTTTTTGAAAGTTCATGCATGCGCGGTTCGCAGGCCTGGCATGTTCTATCAACAAGGCTTGTTAAACTGTTAAACGATGCCCAAGCTAGGTGAACGGATGCTGTGACTCACATTACTTCCACAGGTGACGGAAAAGTGGCTGCAGTCTTGAAAAATGAAACCTGACGCGGCAGGTTCTGACGCAGCCGCTCTACTCAGTATGCGTTGGCTCCCTTTCCTTGGGGTCTTGAGCGTTCCGTCCTCGTTGAATGCCTTTCATTGCAAGAAGCAATTCTTCCGGGCCGACAACCCCCAGCCGTCCACCCAACACGCATTTGCAAGTGGCGGTTTGGCTGGCTCAGGTGAATGTTGACAGTACTTATAACTGCAGCAGATTCGTGTTGACTCGGAACAACTGGGCAGAACCGATTCCATCCCTTCCTTCTCCACACAGGCGGAGACATCTGAAAGACTTCTCCGTGCTGGCGCCGCCTTGGCTAAGCACAATCAAGGTGAAGAATGCACCATTCTTTGGATCTGCTTACATTTGCTACGTGCCCCAAACATGGCTGTGGGTCGAAAATTGGTGCCCAAAATGGGTTACCCTGGGAAATTGAAACACTGACCAAAACCTGCTTTTTTTGCTGGCTTAATTTGGACCCATACTCACATGAGTACACACTCGTACACACAGGCAAGGCCTGCTCATTTGCAGTCGATCTGCTTTGCTGTCCAAACCTCTGAGACGCATGCGCGACATTCGGAAGGACCAGCAGCTGCCTGCCATGTGTCGTGGCAATCAACGTTGGTGGATGACCTGAGTCACAATCAAAACCTGGCACAAAAATGGTCGACCCAGAACCATGTAAAGAACTAAGAAGGCGGCCGCAGCTATTTATGGCTGGGATTGCCCCTTACTAACCTTCACTTACCCGCGTTTCATTGTGGCTCACCTCTGCCCTGAGCGGTGACAAGGTTTGGCTTTTCCTCACATCTTTCCGTGTATCCGATTCGAATGGCCGACATACACATGGGCATGGCTCAAAATTAAAGAGCCAGGGTTACGCAGGCTTTTGTTGGGTTCCATTTACCCAGCTGCAATTATGGTACATTTATTTGAGCCGCAGCCACATCTTACCTTCTCAGAGTGTTTCAAAGACTTCGCTCAAGAGCAGCGCCCACACGCGCAACAGGCTTCTCCATGGGTTTAACAAACAGGTTGCAGCTTGTGTCAAATTGAACAACATCATCTAATGATTTAGCACCGTAACGCATTAGAACCCATGGAAGGTCCCATCCAGTCTCAACCTGAAAGGCCTGTTTTCCCCATTCGCCGCTTTTCCAATTCACATGGCTGTGGCTCAACACCCTGGTGAACATCAAAATAGGTGGCAAATGGATGTTCATCCAGCCCATGGGATCGCCACAGGTTATACCCCATGGCCACATGGGAGGGATGTGCCGCACCCGGCGCAACCGGCAACGACCAGCGTCCGCGGCCTTCCGCGTGGCACGCTTTGACTGACGCCCGATCCCGTCCTTGCGAGCGAAATGCTGCCATGTGGTCGAGCAGAATTCAGAGGCCATGGGCCAATCGTCTCTGTCGCTTCGAGACCTTGCTCAACATGCTCCCTACCTTGCTTTGCAGCGATCATCCTCTTAGCGTCCAAAAGCTGTCCTGCTGAAAGAATCTCCTCTCCTGTCGATGGGCTCAAGTGACCTGCAGGAAGCCAGCTGGACACATTTTCAGTTGCCAAGTTGTCATGAACGATTCTCGGCGACCACCCTGTCTTCATTACCATTTTGGGGTAGGTGCACGACTCATTTTACTCTATTTCAGTGGGGATTGGGGTTCGCTGGGGGTACGGGATTTTGACCCATGGCCATGTCACTCTGGGACGTTCCGCTCGTGCAGCTCTGCCTGCTACGCTGCAGCTCACAGCGTTGGGAGTGTCTGTGAACGGAGAGGGAGTAGTGGCGACCCATGGTTCGGCTCATGCTGGACGCATGGACTCTGATCCCAGCATCTCATGAGCTCGAGGTTGTCCATGACCACGCCTCTTTGCACAGCAAGGACGATGTCGCAAGGCGCAAGTTTCAAAGGAGTTCTTTGAGCTGCCAGCGCAGGAGCTGTGATACTACCAGTGCCGAGCGGCGTTTCTGTCCCCTTCGAGCTGCTCAATGAAGTAGACAGTGAAGGTGGCAAAACAGTCGACTGTGGCCTGCAGAGATTCATGCTGAACCAAGCAGCTCATGCTGAACCAAGAAGCTCTGCCAACTCAGGGCGTAGAACCAAATTGAAAAGCACAAACTATCGCATCTGCTACGCCAAGTGCAAGATCTTTCTCACACGTACCTATGCATTCTAAGAAAGAAGGCGCCTGGCAAATCATACTCTTGCCACCTCCACAAACCGTGTATGACTCTGCTTGAGACCTTCCCTTGCCTATGGGCTCCGTAGCTCGCGAGGCATCCCACACCTCGGTTCACTTTGGTCCGCATTGCATGCTCTGTGCGTCCAAGCCTCTGGCAGGCTCGCTCGTCACAGGCTCCAGATTCGAGCCCTACGGCAGGCAAACCTGCTGGCTGCGTCCAGCCTTCGGTCATCTCTTGCCAAGGTGCAGGTATGCGCTGCTTGCGTGTTGGTTGATGATTGCGTGCCACAAGATGATGAATGGCTTCACTGAACATATCTCCTCCACTGCAACCAGTTCTTCTACAGCACATGGCCCTTCTGGTGTACCCGCTGCCCCCCCTCCCCCCGTTCAACTTTTTTCTGAGCCATGCAACGGGCACGTCGCCTCAGGTTCCAAGCAGCTAGCGACGTGTTGGCTCAACCGATCATCGCAAACTGCAAGCAAAACCGAAGTGCGCTGAATCTATGTGGTTGGACATCATGCCAAGGTGCTCATGTGAAACTAGCAATGCGGCCCTAAAGATGGATGACACTAGAAAGAAGGGCTTGGCTAACTCGAACACATGCATCTTCTCAGGCCCCAGGTTCCACTACGCTGCAGCAGGACAACTTGCTTGCCCAGAAACTTGCAGCAACGTCATGCTTGATCATGTCTCGATAAGCTTGGCTTCCGCTTAGAAACGCAAAGAACCCTAGGTCCTCCAGTAGAGAGGTTCTGTCGATTTTAGTAGGGGAACCCTCCCCACAAAAAGGATAAGAGGGCACTGGGGGACCTAGAACCAGCTCTACCACTTCGATCGTTTGGCGCCTGCTCTGAGTCCACAGCGCTGTGGCTTCGAATGGTTCGCCAGGTCAAGTTGATGCGAGGCCTCGGACACATGAGCAGGCGTTGCTGCCAAACATGCCCTCAGAGCGCAAAGGTCTATTCATGTCTTGCAGAATAAGATCAGTATTGAAGCTGACGGAGAGATTGTCCAACTCGCTTAGCATTCAACAATTCGAATCTAGAAGCGGTTTAGTTGCTGGCAGCATGCCCGGACTGCATCACGCAACATTTCAGGAACTGGCAGCAATTCGACTCGGTCCCCAGGGACGGGAAGCGGTCATATCCCATGTTTAGGTGGTAGAGGTGCTTATTGTCTTAACCATCCAGGAAAATAAACTCCCAAAATCAGGAAACCACCATATATTGATTCTCAACAAATAGTTTATTGGACACCATGTTGCTGCAAAACACGGTAAAAGACTAGGCACTGCGGTATCAACAAAACATCATGCCGGAAGCCGAATGCGAAATGTATTTTTGGTAACGCGGTTTCTAATTCTAGGCTTGCTGTGTTGCAGCAACATACTTGTAGTGCCCTGTTTGATGCACAAGATCTTTTCGTCTTGATTTGTGGGCATAGCCCCCCCCCCGGGTGGAGCAAGCGCAAAGAATGGCATCAGCCAGGTAAGAACTAGTGTGCAGCTAACCCCCTCCTCCCTGGCCGGTGCAGGACAAACAATCAGGCACTCTCCTGCCTTTGTGCCAGACTTCCTTCCGCCTTCCTTCCTTCCTTCCTTCGCAGTTGCTTTTGGTAAGATGCAATAAGTTTCTTGATGCCGGCTGGGCTGAGCAGTCGGGGGGCCTTGAACTCGAGCGGCGTCCAGCAATGAGATGCTTGAAACAAGGACGGACTGGGCTCAAGCTGGGAGGTAGGTTGAGCAAGATCGGAGGTGACCCTGCAGACTTTGGCCTGTGCATGGACCTGCATGCTGATGCTTGGGTCAGGTGCTGCTTAGAGCTGAACTGGCGAGGGTGCTAAAGGCCGCAGGAACTTGGGAGTTGGGGAATCCATATTGTGTTCAATGCCTTAATTCCTCAACTTAATACAACGTTTTAAAACAACACATTGACATAACTTCTCTCTCATTATTCTTACAGTATGATTTTAATGCGTGATAATACATTTTCCTATTTTTAAACCGTTCTTCGGCACAACGCAAGTTCCTACCCGACCACTTATCACCTGAGCAGCATGAACGCACGATATATGAGGCCGTGGACATTTGTGACATACTTCCATCTCATTCAGGCCTCAACCAAATCCGCCGCCCTTTGCGATGAGCAGCCAAGACAAACCAACCCAAACATTGTTCCTGCCAAGTATGGGGTTTTGAGTCACGGGGCATGGGTGGGGGTGAAGCGGGGAAAGGGTTGGGATTTGGTTTTTGGGAAGATCCCTATGACCCAAATAGGGGATCCAAATAGGGGATAGGTATCAACAACAAAGTTAGTACGCATCAAACAATACTTATTAAGTATCAGCAACGAACTCATGAGGCATTCGCTGATTCTTACGGTTCGTTGACCCTTGACAAGGCGGGCACTTCGCAACGTTTACAACCAACATGTCTCATATCTCTGTTTCAATTGGCACTTTGTGTCTCCACCCCATCATCATGTCATTCCCGGTGTGTCACAAAAGGGCGGCAAAGCTCAGGTCCAAACGCTGTGGCGACCACTTCTTTTGGTACCCGATGGTACCAATGCTTCTGGAAGCATCCCTGCCGGGTTCCACTGTGATGCGCGGCATGGCATGAAGCATGGCCACAACAAAACAAGAAAACACCACATCATCGTGAGGCATCTGCTAGAACTCTTGTCTCTTTCTTTGAACCACCCAGCCACGGCATTCAGCCAGCTGCGCGATCTACAAGTGCCGGTTGCATCCTACCCGAGATCCTGATCAGCCTGTTTGATGGCATGTTGACCTTGTGTGCCGTCCAGAAACTCGTACGCCGTCTGCGCCGTCCAATTTTTCTTCAGTTGCCGTGGAGCTCCTTGGGCCCCAAAACGACGTCAAATGTGGAGCTCCGAAAAGAAAGCGACCCCAAACATCACTGACATCAGCACGAGCCTCGGAATATTGTCACCAAAGCCCCTTTCCCCAGCAACCCATGTCATCACGAAGCGCAGAAGCCCTTCTGCGCCGCATTGAGATTTCAATCGGATGCTTGTGAGCAAGTGAGCGCACATTGATGTGAAACTGTTCGGTACAAGTGGAACATGAAGTACACTTTGGCACATCCAAATCGCAACTTTTCAGCACATACACACACACACACCGTATTCTTTGGCAAATCCAGCTCGGAAATTGCTAATTTTCAGTACAAGTGTAGCACACGAAGACGGACATGGGGCGTGTGCCGAAGATTGGTCGTGAAGCGCACGTGCACGTCATTTATGGGTGCAGTGAATGGTGCCAAGATGAACGGCAGGTCGACTCGCTGTGCAGGAGGTCACCAAGCTAGGGATGTCTTGCGCAAGGCTTGAGCCCCAGATCGCAAGGACTTGTCGAACGTGTCAAGACTGGCCTGGCTAAGTTTCTCTTCAAACTCAATCTAAATATGCAT